AACCTTTGTACTGAATGTGATATAGCACTGAGTGCTATACGATCTTCTACAGACATCGATATAGTACGACTAAATGGATCTTTGAATTCAGTTGAGTACAACTGTCCGAACTTATCCTCTAATTCCTCTTTAGCTGAGAGGTGATTGAGTACACGATTGCTTTTACAGGGTTCCCCATAGGAACCGAACAGCGTCCAACCTAATGGAGTCTTCACGGCGAATGGTTCATTCGGCTTTCCAGTTCTTACCTCTTTCATTTCGTGTACACTCGGTGCATTGCACCCGATCAACAGTTCGACATTCTCATCCTCTACTCTAGGAAAACTTATGTCTTTTAAATGCGTCCAGGATTTCATTTGAGACGTCGTTGGTACCGTCCTGCGCAACATAGGTAATCTCTCGACTGTCCATACGTTTGGGATTCTAAATGACGAAGACGAGTCTAAGGATGAAACCTCTAGTTGAACCTCTTTACACTGAATTGTGGAATGGTTATCCAACGTTTTCAACGAAATCGTCTTAGGCTCTCCTTCTAAATTCAGCCTTTTAGCTAGATCTTCTGTAATAAGAGAGGCATCCGACCCACTATCTAAGAAGGCGCAAGTCTGTGCTACCTTTTCTCCACTTCTTACCAGTACAGGCACTATTGCGAATGCTGCTTGTTTCTGTACACTCTCTACACTTTTCTCCGTACATAGCTGGGTGTTAATGTGTGCATCAATATTAGTATTCCTTGGTTCTTCCCGCAACTCATGTAACAGGGTATGGTGTCTCCAGCCACACCCTTCGACAGCACACGACCTCGGCGATCGACAGTTTTTTGCTACGTGGTTTGCCTTCAGGCATACATTGCACAACTTGTGTCTAAGAACGAATTCCTTCCTTTCTCTAACATTCTTGTCTTTAAATTTCTGACATTGATCTAAAGAATGATTACTGGAGCACTCCAAACAAGATGAACTGCGTAAGAGAGCACTATCATCACTAGCACTCGCATAAGATATTCTTGCTGCATTGTAATCTGTATTAATTTTCCTTTTTAAAACACCAACATCTTTATTGCCACTATTACTACCGTGGTTGACAAGTAAGCCGTACCTAGTATTAGCAATGTCCGACTGCTCTTTCACAAATTCACAAAGGTCCTTGAATGAAGGTTCTCTACCTGTCTTAAGAATTCTACACGCAACTTTAACCCATTCTCTTTGCAGGTATAAAGGGAGTTTTAAAAACATGCATTCGATAGTCTTTGTAGAATTAAGATCAGATACATAGTTCATCTGCGTGAGTGTTAGCTCACAAATATGCATCTCACGAGACAACCTTCTTAAATTATATGGATCGGTCCCTTTAATGGCAGGGATGTTCAGCATCTTATCAATAAAAGCATGGGCTACTATATGCTTCTGACCAAATGCTTCCTCGAGAAGTTCTAGTGCTTTACGATAGCCTTCTTCTGGCTCAAGCAATGCGCAATGAACAATAGTGTTTTTAGCTTCACCATCACAGTACTGGATCAAATAGTTTAACCTAGATCGGAACCCGATGCTCTCGTCAAAACAATCCTGAAAATTCCGTATGAAGCTCCAATAGTTCATAGGGTTACCATCAAACCTTATAATCTCTTTCTTTGGTAGGTCTAAAGCTCTAGACATCATTGTTACCCAGTCTTTTCTAGGAGGAACATCGACGACAGATGTAGACTCATACGTCATCGCCTTGTCAACCATAACTTGATCATAATGTTCTCTTCCTTTTTGGCGTAACCGTTCTAGCTCGATTTCTTTTTCTGTCTGAGCTAAACGTACTTTAGCTAATTCTAACTCTAACAAGGGATCTATTCGGTAGGTATTTCCTCCGAGCTGGTCATCACTATGGGTTTCTGAATAATGAGGAGACAATTCAGGAATATGATCAGTTTTACGACTCTCCATAGGTACCCAATGTACGAAACTTTGATGAGTTACTGTTCGAAACTTTGTAGGAAGCAATTTCCCACAGATTCAACTCTAAACTAATCTCTAGACTGTCGAGTACAGAGTCTTGGTTTGGCCAAAGTCAGAACAAGTAAGCTATTTGGCTATATAAACTTTATCTGTTTCTAAAACATAAATTAACATCGTTAGTGTGCCAACGAACAGTACAGTCTATTAATACAAAGAAAAACAGAGACAGATAACATACCGAACAGTAGCTAGAGAATAGGAAAAATGAGTCAACAAGCCAAAATTGTCTTACAATGAACATTAAACTGTGATTGGTTAATAAAAAGATACAGTCGTACAAGGTCAAAGGGAGTTAATGTGGTGGTGGGCGTTTCCCTTTATTATTGGTGGGTTCGTTTATCGATCACATTTTACAGTTATCTTAGGATCATGGGTGCATACGAATGTTCTGGAAGCTTCTTTACCTATCTCCTAGCAGTGACTGACCCATTTTTTAACCAGTTAACGTGCCCCAACTATCATCTATAGAGCATGCATTAATCTAATCTATGACCTGTTAACTGATGGGCAATGCTTCGAAGTTACACTTGTGATCAAATACCAGTGACCTACAAATATCCTGTTTTACAAGGTTACGTTTCTCACCTGTAACGTAAAAAAAAACCAACTACTCAGTATACTCGTCCCTTAGTAGACAAACATATGAGCTACACTACGAGTGACCCATGTAGGTAAATGGTAACCGAGATTTTGTCTGACCAATCCACCAGGGGTGATAAGGCTTCTAAGAAAAGTGATCGACATTACCAACTTCACTCCCATCATTACTTTGGACGTTAATGTAGACCATTACTAAAGCTTATCCTAAACATCCTTGCGTTGTTGCTCAAAGTGATCGGAAGATTGCATTTTACCAGCGTCTTCTAACAACTATCTCATCTACGTATTTGAAGTCAACAAGTGATTCCTCTGGTAGATCGGTTATTAAAGAGTTAGCGTTATCGCCTTAAAAAAATGTCTGTGGTGAAGTTGAATAATATGCCATTTAGACTTTTGGAGGTTAACAAGCAACTGAAGAGTAGCTTAAAGGCAGTTGAACTGGTCCTTTAAGTTTTTAATCTCCCGTCCCGACAACTTTTCTGAAAGTGGATCATCCTCTCATCTTCACGCAAGTCCCGCTAATGCTTAACGTTGTTTCTTTGGTGCCTAAAAGTGTCGTAAGCCTCAGTTTATTTCCAGTCGACCTGCATGCTTGATGGTCCAATCACAACCGCTATTATCTTTGATTTTGTTCTGGTTAGAGTCAGGGTCGTATATATAGGATACGATTAAACAACAATGTGTATCTCTATATTTTAGAGTTCTTATAACTTCGTTCGTTCGAAGTATGCAAGCGACTGTAACTCTGATTGAAAGTGCGTTTTCTATTTATGTAGGACCTCGAGAACCGCTCTGATCGCATGCTTATAACTCACCTCAGTGTTTTGACTAACAAGCTCGAATAACGAAGAACGGAGTTGCATCCCCTTAATAATCACACACTTTTGGTTAGCGTTCCTCATCTTCGTCGTGTAGAACTTTTCATAACGTCTAAATAGCTTTTCGTCATTCTTGTAACCCGTCAGAATAACTTCCGGTTTATAAGTTCGCTTTTGGTCTCATTTTGACAGTATCCATTTCCAGTGTACAGTTGATTAGACAATACTTGGCTACCTAAACATAGAAGTCGCCTATATGCCTCTAATTGTTCATAAAAAATGAGCTGGCTTTTTAACTAGTCGTGTTCCTGTGTTTATTAGGTTTCGGTCATTTTCAATTCTAGTCTCTGGTTCAACATCAGTCGTGATTTTTCGTTTCTGAATGACCTAAAGTGTCTCAGTCACTGAGAGGATAAAAACAAACACGTGACAACTACACCGGGTAGATAGACACAAGGTTCACTTCTATGTAAAAACCTTGATTCTAAACTAACTGTACTTAAACTCCAGTATCTCAGAGGGACAAATGATGTACAAACCTATTCCAATCAACGGCCCATACGAGAAAAGACTTCTCAGTGTTGATCCAAAACATTGTGACTTACTCGCATAGATGAAATATATTTGAGGACATGAGTCGCTAGGAAACGTTTGCTTTGGTTAAGCTGTCTTGATTGCATCATAGTCTTCACAAATAAAATTCACCAATAGCTCATACTAATACCTCTCTTGGTATATGGATAATCACAAATCTCATTTTGCTACAAAATGGTCATTTTATACCACATATATGTGTGCTGTTCTATTTCCGCTTGCAATATTTTTCATTTTGACCTCAGCAACTAGTACCTATTAAAATTATTATGCTACACGAATGGTCTTAATTCGTTAAGTGGTCAATTTTTAAGCATCTTCGCTGAACGCAATATCTTACGCAGCAGTTATGAAACCATAGTTACTTCTATTAACGTCCACGCCTTGATGTAGGTCTAACAAGAGACAAGTTTGGTTAAAGCTCTCATATCCCTCGTTACTTACTGTTTAGTGTTCAGTTGCTTGTTTCCTTAATCTCAGTTAAATTTTTCTCATTTGTCCATCGACTCGGGAAGTTTTACAGTCATGTATCTGTCGCTGGTAACTTGGGACATTAAACCTTCGTCTTATGTAATTAATTTACCCAAAACTGCTTTTCGTTTGACTGTTCTAACTCAAAGTTGTCATTAATCCACATCTCATACTCACCACTCACATTTAGTTCTATCCACAGACAGCGTGGCTGTTATTTATGTTTTAATATATTTCTATGGTGTTTATAAACGTCTGCATTTTTACAGACCCACCTTTTGACTTTTTCATAGAGCAACTGTTTCGAGTACATTTTCTTCCACCACACGTACATTGGCGTGTTAATAATGCGAATAAAACTTGTATTATTCAGGTCACATTTGGTTTAATCTCTTATTTAACTTCCCCAAATTTGTCTACGAAGAATTCATTTATCTTTGATTCATTTCCGTTTAGTTACCACCAACCAATATTTAAATCATTTAACCTGACTTATATCTTTTTGTCGTAGGTATGGAACATACAGATGCAGTTAACAAAGACAACAGTACTACTATGACTTTCCATTCAAATACTGATGTCAATCCTGGGAATTATGTTACTGATTTTGATAATAGGGTTGAATGTTCATTTTGCTGTGGCGAAAATGCAGAGTCCGAATCTGGTCAGCGATCTTGTCAACATTGGACTCAGGTGCGTCCATCTAACACAAGGCAAGCACAAAAAAAGAAACTCAGAGGACTTCAAAACGGCCATCATGATCCTTCTCGTTATACCAATAGTCGAAATACAAAAGAAAATACAGACATACAACGTCCCATCATTAACGGTAATTCAATTGATGGACAAAGTATGCGTAATCCAAGTGATACTAATACTTCAAATTCAGCGGCTTCACGCTTTAAATATGATAGATCTTTGCATTCAAGCAACAAAAATGCACCAACATCTAACACAGAACAAACTAAACCTGTAGCATCTAATTCATCTTCTCCAGCTCCATCTGTTTCTTCGGATCTCCCAAATGGACATGACTTTAGTGATAGTAGGACATTCCCTCGATATGCACATAAATCGTCACGTTCATTTAGATCATCTACTCAAGCCAACGAGTCAGACGATCTCAACAGTCAGCGTTCAAACGCTTCACCCGTTACTGTTGGTGGAGCTAACACGAGAACCCGGGCTTCAGTGAGTCGGTATAATGTAAATATGTCACCCCAGTCTGGGGCAATCCCTAATGCATATCAAAATGGTCCTTTTGATCAGTGGCGACGTCCTAATAATAATGGCAGTTTGCGAAGATCACATCAACAGCATTTCGTACCTCGTAATACCAGTCAGTTTCACCGTTATAATGGACCGGCAGCTCACCCTGGTCGACCTCATCAGAACAATTTCTCGCGGAATCGCATTTCAGGCTCTGGAATGGGAGATTCACCTCCCGTACAAGCAAACGACTCACCTAATCCTGTTCTTAATGAATATAATTCACAACCTGATTCAGTCCGAGAAGATCTAAAAAAACCACAGACATCTTGGGCAACTGTTGCAGTGGGTGTCCAATGTGAACAGAAACTCTATACACCTAAAGATAATTCACGAGACCAACTAGTTAGTTTCCTCCTGGAACAGTGGCGCCGTTTCGACCGAAAATCGACCTAATGCACAAATTAACACGAAACGTATTTTTAAGTATCCCCTTTTTCACCTATGGTATCATCTGGTATTGTTTTGTACTGGGTGGGATGTTACATTCTTTCTTCCTCTCTCTCTTTATATATATATCCCACGAATTTTTATACGACACGCTTAATGTCGGAGAAATAAAGTTTATGTAAAAATGAACCTTTCATAGATTTATTTTAAGGTTTTCGTTTATGGCGCTTGATTTCTTCCTGCTATTAACTTAACTTCTTAAACCGAAATGCAAGTTATTTTGAAAAAGAACTCAAGATTCAAGTCACATTCCTTATAATCTATTATTTATTTATTATCTACTACTTACCTATTGTATAACTACTAAGGAAAGTGGAGTCGGGACTGTTTCCAGGACGTCGAATGAATTCTCCTCTCTATGTTTTCAAATACTTTGTCCCAGTACTCATATTGGTTTTCTTTACTGCTTTATAGATATTGCATGGTTAAGTGCGTTGTTTCCTTCTAAACCATCACTATTACCATCATCCCTAGATATTACTTGTTTGATATATTGATCTTTAATTTATATTGTTCAAAAGTAAACATTTCAAATACACTTCTAAATAAGGCAACTTTTTCTCAGTTCTGTTCATCTAAACAGTTTAAACTTTGTATCATTTTTTTCCGCATCATTTCATTTCATTATGAATCTATTTATACTGTAATTTCACGAGTAAAATGCGTGTACTAGTTTAATTGTATTCTTTTTGGGAAAAAAAAGTTCTTTTATTTTGTTAGTAACATTAAAATGTTTTTGGGGTACAGAATTATGTTTATTATTGCAACCACTATGGCTTCACTTACATTTTATTTTCCATTTTAAAGCTATATTTATTGAACATACATACCTCTTCTATCCCCTTTTACCTTTATTGTTTTCTGTAAGCAGATATGTTCATTTTGAAACATTCAGATATTTGGATAACTGGTTTGTCTTCCATATCTTTTATAATTAAATGGTCTAAATGTTTAAAGGGATTTATGCAAGAATGAATTTATTAGATTTATTAAAATGGACTTGTAACAATTATTTATCTAGACTAACCTAGTTATGTATGGAACTTCTAATTTCATAGTCTTACGTGTTATGTTAACACTCAAATAATACAATTTCAGTATGAACTGTATTTCCTACTTAGAACGGTTTGCTAACGAAGCAATATTGAGCACTGAAAGTGATTTCCTTCGCCGTAATTATCATTGTTACGACATTAAAACAACAAAATAGTTTTCAACTTGATGGAGCATGATTATGTTTTATTTACGAAAGATGGTATACACATATTTAGACGTTTCTCAACGTTGTTCTTGTGATTCTTCAATGTATTGACAACGGTCACACACAAATTCAGTAGTTTCGCTTTCTGTGTGCTGTTTTTACTGATCGTAGTGTTTGGGTCGACCACTCATGAAACTGTGGTTAAGATGTTCGACTTTCAGGCTTGAAATCGTATGTTCAAACTCCTCATCGCCTAAGTTGATTTGGGCGACTGGGTAGTCCCATTAGCCCTCATATCTAGAATATGACTCATACCTAAGTGCGTGGTAAATGAGTTAATTATTATTGTGTACTGTACTCATAAAACTTGAATATTTCAAACGGAAATTATTCGATAGTGAAAATAAAAACACAAGATTTCCACTTAGAACTTTCAATTGGTTGAAATACAAGCTAGTAGATAAAACTTTGATGCTTTTGTCTACCAAAAGGTATAAGAATGAGACGTGTTCATGTTTGTTTTTATTAGATGATGACTTACTGAATGCCTCCTAAAATTCAATAACTTCATGGTTTAGAAAGGCGTAGTTACTAACTATGGTTTTAGAGTTTGATGTGAACTTTATTCGATAGCGATGAAACTAATTGTTTTGGGTGGTGGGTTTTCAATTTGAGGGAGATCATTCATATTACTAAAATGTTACTCTTTAATATGAACTATCCAACTCAAAATCCTAAAGATTTTATCGACTCGATGATCAAATTTCTTGTAATGGTAGTGCTAATACCAGTGTGAACTATTCTTTTGGGACTTAGTAAACTCTGTCTGGTGATTATCATCCTCTTTACTTTGACAACTATATGTACCTGACCAGCAGTAACTTCAGACATGATATCCACCCAACAACATCATTAGTGATTATCGGTTGGGAGCGATGAAAGATACTAAATCTGTATCTGACCATTCGACGTTGAGGAATATGAGAGCATGGCAAGTTTTTCAAATGAAGAAATAAGCTTGCCAAGTTCTTATTCGGATGTTGCTTGCTAAAGTCGGTCTGCTGTAGATTGTGTGCAAATCAACAGGCTGCAGATCAGTTGAAGCCAAAGTAGCTTAAGCACATTGATTAGCCGTTTACGTTGATAACCGCGAGTAGTGGTGGTTGTCGAAATATCCTTAAATTTGTGAAGAGCTCTTTAACGGACACTAATAAATGCGGTGGCTAATAGAGGAGTTAATTGATCGGCAAAACCAGAAGTAGGGGCTGTAAAAGTTCCAACTAACCTCAACTCCCTAAGGTAAAATTATGGTCCCATTAGATAAGTAAGCCAACCTTTAGTTGAAGTTAATCTCATGATATTGGAACAGCAAAAATGAATAAGATTTGCAGTCACATGATGTGTTGTAAGAATTTTGATCTCAGAATCCTAGGTTCGGTCATTAGAGGTTATTACCTAGTTTATCTAGAGTACACAAACCGTAGGTAATCTGCTTTTATAAGTCATCGGTCATTCAAAAATACGAATTAATTATATCCTCTTGGTTAAGACTGGATCTTTGTACCTTGTAACCTTTTCTCTCCAGCCTTAAAGATTCACAAGTCAAGATAATTGTTTACTAACAACTCAGGGATTATTCCCTTACTCAAATATTGTTAGGCTGATCTAGATTATGCAGATGAAATAATATTATTAGTTAGAAAGATGAGGTCTTCCTATCTTTCACGTTCGTTTTCCACAAATGGAGTGGTGAAACCATTGTAAAAGCAACGACACATGTACGGTGGCTGAGTCACTTATTACACCAGCTCATTAACTATTAGTAACAGCAGTGCAGGGTAAGATCGGATCAGGCTGAAGGGACACTAAGTGCAACAAGGCAAGAGTATGATGTCCCATAAACCTGAAATTCAGTCTGGATTCTTCAGATTTAGGTGTTTTATTCTTTCCACACTGAAGTACGGGAACCTCGTGTAGTGTTTTAAACCAGCCTCGTTTAATATTTCACTGCTCAAATAATTCTAATTTTATGTTTTAAACTTTCCGAAGTTTCAACCCACAAATTTTAAACTGGACAATTTCATCGGTGATATTCGTAATCTTGGTAATACTTTTTTTATCCAGAGGAGCTCGAATTTGTTTTTGACCTCATCTTAAGAAGAGGTGGCTGAATGATGTCTTAATCTTGGCAGCGGAGATCTCGTTTGGTCCAATTTTCCTTTGAATGCATCAACAGAAGAAGCTCCAGTCACATATTCTGTTAGAGCTTCACCTGTTTACAGTTCTATTGGAAATTCGATGTCTCTGTAAACTCTTTGTCTTCGACGACGGGTAGAATGATGCGAGACTACTACTAAGTAACTTGAAAGCCATGATTAGATCCTTTTTAATCCTTCTGTATGACGACAGGAATAGGTTTAATTTAACCGGTTGTAGCAACTTTGAAGTTACAAGATTCAGCCTAGTTTAGGGTGCTTTGACCATTTTCTAACAGTTCAGTATCTTTTTTTCAAACATTGGCTGGTTGATTGAATGTTATATTCAAGGTAGTGAACCGCCATCAACTGAGGTGGTTAGGACACGTTATGTATCCCCAATCACCGCCTACCTCGATGGGCGGTGTTTTCTAGTGTAGGACGTGGTTAGAAGATAGCTAGGGGTGGTTAAGTCAAAACATGGCGTCATTCCATGAAGTCAATAATAATTGGACTGAGCCAATGTTAATGGGTGTAGACTACCTGGTTGGGGTCCGCATGGTTATCATAGCCGATGCTTAGAGACTTCGAATGACATAGCTCAAAACCGTTACAAAGGTGCAGATTCACTCATTCTTTGTCTTCCCACAAATTCTGAGTTCCTCATAACGTTTTTTTTTTGTATTTTTATTTCACTAATTTATATTTTCTCGAATCGTATTCTCAGTGCCCTCAATCTCCCCTGTTCTGAGATTTGGTCTGATGATTTCACCACTCAGTGCTAACTGGGATATGGTAACCTTAACCAATGTATATACGTCCGAGGTTCTACGTTGTAACTGACTGACTGAATACAATAGTATTATTTGCAAAGTATTGACGAGGCGGTTGTGAACCTTTTAGTAACAACAGCAAGGAAGTGTGCCGTGATCTTCAAGTTTGGACTGATTATGACTTACATAAATGTGTCTGGACAACAGAGTTTAACATTGTTCACTGTGTAGGTATCTATACCTCGGTATCCAATAGCACAATATAATGCGTCTTGTGGTATTGCCAGGAAACACTAATTTTAAATAACTAAGACTGTGATTTCGGTTTTTTAGTAATATCACCTATTATTTACAAGATACATTGAATAACTCTACCCGAACTCTCTAATATTAATCAAATTTTAATTTAAGAATCTGAAATTTTTATGCATCTATTAGATGTAGGACGAATAGTTTCAACTCCATTTAAACATGAAAGCTAATTAACCAAATAGATTATTTATTTCTGCAATAAAAGATGTTTTAGTTAGGTGACTATTGAGATTTATGAAATGAGGCACATTTTAATAACATGACTAATGAAGTTTGAATCATAAAGTGTTTATGACTACACCGTTTGACCTATTTTTCCGAATATTGATTTTGATAAGTGAGAATTTGTGAGACTTATTTCATTTACGCCTTTTACTTAGGCTGCAGACCAAAGATCTCCAAGTGACTCTATCCCCCATTTTCCCTCCCAGCTGTTGGGGCGCAGTATCTGTGATCTCAATGTCTCACTTCAATTCCTGACACATTGTGTTTCCTGGTGTTTGTCCTTTTCTTCTGGCTTTAGGATATGAAGTTAGGGCTTGCTTTTGTTGGTTTCCGTAACATGTGTCCTATCAACTCCGAGTGTCTATCCTTAATTTCCTCAGCTAGTTTCTTGTCTGCCACAGTCGTTTACGGCTTATGTTCTCTAGTCGTTGGTCTGGAGTATCTTGTGTGGGCAGTTGTCTATGAATACTTGTACTTTTTTGACGATATTGTCGGTAAATCTCCAAGTTTTAGTTTTGTGTGATAACCTTTTTAACATTAGAGTTGGAATTCTGACTGTAGTACTGATTGACATTTGTTTTGAGTTCCAGATGTTCTTCAGTTGTATGAATGCTCTCCTTGAATAAGCAATCTGTGCCTTCACGTCTGTATAATATTCTCCTTGTTTTTTAATGTTACTGCCCAAGTAAATGAAGGCTTCTACCTCTTCCAGAGCTTCGCCATCGAGTGTGACTTGGTTGGTACTCACTACACTGAATTTCAGGATCCTCCTTCTCTTGTGAATGTTGAGGTTTACTGCTGTAGATGCCGCTGACACATTGGTTATCTTCGTCTGCGTTTGTTGTTATGTGTGAGACGGTAGGACTTAGTCATGTGCGCAGAAAAAATCGCACAGCCGTGTCCAAAATGTCCATTGCATCCAGTGTTTCTTCTAGGGTATGAAGGTCTTCGCAATCGAGTCAATAGCTGCAAAGAGGAAGGAGAAAATGCGAGGGCACGCGGCCTTTTCTGACATCAGCCTTCACTTGTAATCCATCTGTGAGTTGTCCTTTATCCATGACTCCTCGTAAAAGTCACATATGATGATGCCGATCTTCTCAGATTTTTCATAGTATTGAAGGAGATCCCATAATGTTTTTCCGTCCAGTCTATCGAATGTTTCCTCATAATCAATGAATTCGGTGTGTAGTGCTAAGTGTCAACAATGATCCACAGTATCACAATTTGGTCGTTACATGATCTATCCTAACGAAAATCAGCTTGTTGCTCACGAAGCTAAGTATCTACTGAATTTTTTATTCTGTTCGTTAACACTGTTGGAAACTTTGCCTAGTACCGAAAGTAGCGTGACGTCTCTATAGTTTTCATATCTAAATCTCCTTTCTTTGGGATCTCTTTCC